AAGGTTTTCATGCTCATGTTAGAACCCATTCACCATCAACTATTTTGCTATATATTATTTAGACCAAAATTAATTTACATTTCTAATTTGGGAGAGTGCAACTATAATTCTCGCAATTTTATGCCTTGAAAAAATATTCCCCGTGGAGAGTTATTTTTATATCACAAGAAGGTGTGGTTGATTCGAATAAGTCTTTATGTGAAGCGCAAAATAAGTTTTCTTGATGATACGAAGATCGATGAACTATAAACTGTTGATATTCTCTCTAACTATTTCACACTACTTGATCTTACAAAACTATTAGTTACATTCTACAATTCATAAATTAGCAAGAAGAAAACTTGCTCTTTATATAAAGCAAAAGCGTAGATATGGAAAAATGTCAACATTCCTACTGGTATTGCATTTATTTCATGTTTTTATTATTTATATGTTGTCAAATTATGTATTGGCCATAAGATTGGTTACTTTACTAATTCCTATACAAGACTTCAAAATGAGACAATAACTTGCAAACTAAGAGAAATATATTGTTAAGGTCCATAAAAAATCATTATATACATCTTTAAGTGATGCGTTCTGGAGGCTTTTCAGGTTTATTGATATTAAAAATATTTGATTTTCTTCATTTATTTTGAAGTTAGAATTTTTATCAAATGTATTTCTTAAATTGGAATTTTAATTTTGCTGCAGTTGTTGAAGTGTTTGATAATGAAACCCATCATATAAATATTGTGGAGCGATGATGTGGAAAGGTGAAAGTACCAAACATACGAGGAATTTCAATCAGCCAAAGTGTTCATTGTTCTACAGACAAGGCAAAGTGAATCTTCCTCATCGAAGGCAACCTCCAGAAGTTTTGAATATGCTACTAAGCAAATACTTCAACGAGACATTAGTGTTTGGAACTTGTCCAACACTATAATGGGGTATTTGCATAAACTTCTATTGGAGGTAAATTGGGAAGATCTCTAAATGATGGAGAGGAAGTATATGTTTATTCGATGGGAGTTAAGTATATCATCGAATCAATAGCATGTTACCTGAGAAAACATATCAAGTTTGCTCAACTTTACATCTATGACAGTTGACACTCCAATGAACTCAAAAATTGGTTAGAGTATTTCTTCCAGAGGTCCAATTTCAAACTCTTTTGCGTGATTCAACCATTCAAGAATTGCACGATATGTTAAATTCAAGTAATATTTAGTAAAGGCATTTCGATCTATAAGTGATTTATTGAATGACACCACTGTTTTGCAAGTTTAAATTAAATTGCTTGCTAAAAGAGAAGGAGATGGTGGAGAATATGATTTGTCATCTTTAAATGAGGTTGTTGCTTTAATTGTTGATTACGGGGGAGCAAACTTTTTCTCCTGATATTGTTGTCCACTATCAAAGTCATTAGCTGGAACAAATTAGTATATATCATCTAAGTATAATAGCTTTGCAATATGTCATATTATTCTCACATGGTGAGGGTGATTAGCACTCAAATATTTCGTATTTTGGCAGCGACGATGCATATGGACTCATTGCAATTGTGTGGGAAGTTGTAACAACATTACTACCAATGTCTTTTGGATTCTTACTTGAGAGGTGATTCGGATACTAATATGAGCAGAAAAGATGTGATTTTAACTTCATCACATATAGGTAATCCTCTTATATAAGTATGTAAATTTGGCAATGAGAAGTAAATTGAAGTTTGATTTTATTATGGTTTTCAAGAGTTGGTTCTCTTGAATGGGTTTGATATTTTACTTTCAATTATGAATTTTTATTTTTTCTTTAATTGAATAATTTGGGTTATTTTATATTATCAAATAAAACATATCATACTTTGCATAATAACTACTATTTTATATTCTATTTTTTAAATGCAACCGGCCAACGGGTGGGCCCAAATCTAGTGACCATTTGCTATTTTTCTCCCTTCTGTATATAGCTTTTCAAGACTTCAATTCTTATTGCCTCTCAAGAATTCTAAAGCTGGGTTTGATGTATATACATCAATTTCTCGGTAGTCCGCAGGTGAGAATGAAGCATTCCAAGGTTTTTTGGGCACTCAATACTCAATACAGACAATTCAATTACTTTACTGATGTAACTGGATGTTCTGTCGTAAGCTTACTGGCCTCAAAGTGGCTTTGACTTGAGTACTCGAATGCATGATTGAGATTAGAGTCACTACAGAAACGCATGATAGTTTCCAACATTTGTTTTTCTGTCTTGTGTTTCAGGGTAAGGAACACAATGCTTCAAATAAGAACATAATCATTTTCTCACACATGCAGCTAACTAAGTCAAGGAATTAATGGGCTCCAAATGTTGGTCTAATCTGGAATTGTTTGCCTATAAACTGCAGTTCTTCCTCGCCTGCACAAAATGTGACTCGCTTGATAATAAGCATATCATCCTTGGGTTATGTTTCCATCTACTTACTGCTATATCTCTGCCATTCATATTCTCTGTGCATCACAATTCAGGCTGTCTACCCCCAACTGTTTTACAAATAATCATCAGCATTAGAGTGAAACTATGAGACAAATCAGATTTTGAAAGATAAGAAAAATCATATTAATTTCAATAACTAACCTTCATTGCTCAACAAGTCAACATAGATGTCTTTTGCAACCAGGTCCTCTTGCAAGATATTAAAGAACCGTGGCCAGATTTTATACAAATTGTCCCATTGAGCATTAATGGAATCCTAAATATCCAAAAACAAAGAAACAAAATACTTTCTTAACAGGTTGCAAGCATGTAAAGCACTTAGAAACAAAAAGATACTCTTACTTACTTGAGATGCTGCATGTTCTGAATAATTCCTACAGAACAAAAAAAAAATGCCACTGGATTACTATTGGCCTTCAAATTCTTAAGTCTGAACTCCTCATCCGTGTTGCCTGTAAGTTTATTATAACACAATACGGCCTTGAAAGCTCCACCAAGATTGAACACACCATTAAGCCACGACTTTGCTTCAGGATCAGCGTTAAACGTTATGTGAAGAAAAAAAGTTTCACCATCAAAAACCTTTCTTCCGACCTCGCTTAAATAAGCGAACTTCTGCTGAGCTCCCAGAAACACGAGCGAATTTTGCAAATTCTTTTTATTCAACCTGAAAAATTTTCAATTCGAAATTGTTTTTAAAAGGTATAGCCACATGTGGAATTTAACTTATTACGTAATAATATAAACAAGCTTAAGAATCCAAAATCTCGAAATCAATACATATATAATAACATAAATCATTCTTAGAAATCAAGCAGTAGTGATATCCAACAGTTAGTTTACATTCAGAAAAAAGAAGTCAAAAAATAATTTGGCAGAGAAGTGATGAAAGCATTCTCCCTGACGGCCAGTTAATTAAATTGATCTAAATACTGACCACTATTCATCAAACACTCTGATTCATTACCTAACTACCTATTCTAAGAATAAAAGAAAGCAAGCAAACAAAAGTTCCAAGAGAATGAGACAATAAGCGGCCAAAGTAAGGAGGAAAGAAAGATTGAAGATGGATGACGTCGAATAGATTAGGAAGCACAGCAACAGAAGCTTGCTTTTGAACGATTTTAAGTGTTGTTAATGCTTTTACTCACCAAACGAGTTTATGTGGACTCTAACTTGTTTTGCTTACCTAAAAACGTAAACTCCCTTTATTCAGTTTAGACGACACTTTGACTACATTGAATTGAGAAGAAAATATGAAATACATATTTAAATAATTAAAAGAGAAGAACTAACCTTAATGTTTGCAATATTGAGGGCAACCATTGTTCTTGACAATGCAGCACATCTTTATATTTTTCAAAAACATCAGCTAAGCTCTCACACTCTTTGGATTTGTCTTGCGTAGTAAGTCCTAAACCAAAGCTCGACTTTGAAGGGCAGCTCCGTAACCACAATGTTATGCATCCAGAGTTTTAGATGGCCGCCATGCGAATGCTTTTTGGAACAATGGTGAAGTTCATCTAAAGCGGAGTCCCTTTGAGTTGGAGAATGTTTCTCTGCACATGTAAAGAATGAAAACTTATTTCGCAGTATCCCAGAACCAAAACTTTACTCAAGATGGAGCTTCTTTTGGTTTAAGTTAGAAAAAACTCACTACAATTACACCACCTACACCATGTGTGGATGGGCTTTTAATTTACAAGGCAACATACGGAAGTCAAAACGTGAGTGTTCGATTTGTAAAAAATGAACACAATATTATAAGAGACAGAGAAAAACAAGGTTTTAGGAGAGCAAGGCAACATAACTTTAAACGAGTGCTTCAAGCATTGTTTATGTATGAAGTAAAGCAAGGTTTTGTTTTCGTGTACGATCGGTACGATCATACTTTGCCTGACTATGTTGATAAAATTAAGAATACTGCTGACAGCAACGCAAAGGGACTCCGCCTAATGAGGTAAATATGATTTTTTCTGATTTTTTTCTTATATTAGCATGTTTTAATGAGTTTTCTCATTTTTCAGTTTTCATTCTTTACATGTGCTTTTTGGAAAATGTTTCTCTGCACATGTAAAGAATGAAAACTGAAAAATGAGAAAACTCATGAAAACATGCTAATATAAGAAAAAAATCAGAAAAAATCATATTTACCTCATTAGGCGGAGTCCCTTTGCGTTGCTGTCAGCAGTATTCTTAATTTTATCAACATAGTCAGGCAAAGTATGATCGTACCGATCGTACACGAAAACACAACCTTGTTTTACTTCATACATAAACAATGCTTGAAGCACTCGTTTAAAGTTATGTTGCCTTGCTCTCTTAAATATCAAAAAACAAAGAAACAAAATACTTTCTTAACAGGTTGCAAGCATGTAAAGCACTTAGAAACAAAAAGATACTCTTACTTGCTTGAGATGCTGCATGTTCTGAATAATTTCTATAGAACAAAAAAAAAATGTCATTGGATTACTATTGGCTTTCAAATTCTTAAGTCTGAACTCTTCATCCGTGTCGCCTGTAAGTTTATTATAACACAATACGGCCTTGAAAACTCCACCAAGATTGAACACACCATTAAACCATGACTTTGCTTCAGGATCAGCGTTAAACGCTATGTGAAGAAAAAAAGTTTCCCCATAAAAAACCTTTCTTCCGGCCTCGCTTAAATAAGCGAACTTCTGCTGAGCTCCCAGAAACATGAGCAAATTTTGCAAATTCTTTTTATTCAACCTGAAAAATTTTCAATTCGAAATTGTTTTAAAAAGGTATAGCCACATGTGGAACTTAACTTATTACGTAATAATATAAACAAGCTTAAGAATCCAAAATCTCGAAATCAATACATATATAATAACATAAATCATTCTTAGAAATCAAGCAGTAATGATATCCAACAGTTAGTTTACATTCTGAAAAGAGAAGTCAAAAAATAATTTGGCAGAGAAGTGATGAAAGCATTCTCCCCGACGGCCAGTTAATTAAATTGATCTAAATACTGACCACTATTCATCAAACACTCTGATTCATTACCTAACTACCTATTCTAAGAATAAAAGAAAGCAAGCAAACAAAAGTTTCAAGAGAATAAGACTATAAGCGGCCAAAGTAAGGAGGAAAGAAAGATTGAAGATGGATGAGGTCGAATAGATTAGGAAGCACAGCAACAGAAGCTTGCTTTTGAACGATTTTAAGTGTTGTTAATGCTTTTACTCACCAAACGAGTTTATGTGGACTCTAACTTGTTTTGCTTACCTAAAAACGTAAACTCCTTTATTCAGTTTAGACGACACTTTGACTACATTGAATTGAGAAGAAAATATGAAATACATATTTAAATAATTAAAAGAGAAGAACTAACCTTAATGTTTGCAATATTGAGGGCAACCATTGTTCTTGACAATGCAGCACATCTTTATATTTTTCAAAAACATCAGCTAAGCTCTCACACTCTTTGGATTTGTCTTGTGTAGTAAGTCCTAAACCAAAGCTCGACTTTGAAGGGCAGCTCCGTAACCACAATGTTATGCATCCAGTTTTTTAGATGGCCGCCATGCGAATGCTTTTTGGAACAATGGTGAAGTTCATCTAAAGCGGAGTCCCTTTGCGTTGGAGAATGTTTCTCTGCACATGTAAAGAATGAAAACTTATTTCGCAGTATCCCAGAACCAAGACTTTACTCAAGATGGAGCTTCTTTTGGTTTAAGTCAGAAAAAACTCACTACAATTACACCACCTACACCATGTGTGGATGGGCTTTTAATTTACAAGGCAACATACGGAAGTAAAAACGTGAGTGTTCGATTTGTAAAAAATGAACACAATATTGTAATGGACAGAGAAAAACAAGGTTTTAGGAGAGCAAGGCAACATAACTTTAAACGAGTGCTTCAAGCATTGTTTATGTATGAAGTAAAGCAAGGTTGTGTTTTCGTGTACGATCGGTACGATCATACTTTGTCTGACTATGTTGATAAAATTAATAATACTGCTGACATCAACGCAACGGGACTCCGCCTAATGAGGTAAATATGATTTTTTCTGATTTTTTTCTTATATTAGCATGTTTTCATGAGTTTTCTCATTTTTCAGTTTTCATTCTTTACATGTGCAGAGAAACATTTTCCAAAAAGCACATGTAAAGAATGAAAACTGAAAAATGAGAAAACTCATTAAAACATGCTAATATAAGAAAAAAAATCAGAAAAAATCATATTTACCTCATTAGGCGGAGTCCCTTTGCGTTGCTGTCAGCAGTATTCTTAATTTTATCAACATAGTCAGGCAAAGTATGATCGTACCGATCGTACACGAAAACAAAACCTTGCTTTACTTCATACATAAACAATGCTTGAAGCACTCGTTTAAAGTTATGTTGCCTTGCTCTCTTAAATATCCAAAAACAAAGAAACAAAATACTTTCTTAACAGGTTGCAAGCATGTAAAGCACTTAGAAACAAAAAGATACTCTTACTTGCTTGAGATGCTGCATGTTCTGAATAATTTCTATAGAACAAAAAAAAAATGTCATTGGATTACTATTGGCTTTCAAATTCTTAAGTCTGAACTCTTCATCCGTGTCGCCTGTAAGTTTATTATAACACAATACGGCCTTGAAAACTCCACCAAGATTGAACACACCATTAAACCATGACTTTGCTTCAGGATCAGCGTTAAACGCTATGTGAAGAAAAAAAGTTTCCCCATAAAAAACCTTTCTTCCGGCCTCGCTTAAATAAGCGAACTTCTGCTGAGCTCCCAGAAACATGAGCGAATTTTGCAAATTCTTTTTATTCAACCTGAAAAATTTTCAATTCGAAATTGTTTTAAAAAGGTATAGCCACATGTGGAATTTAACTTATTACGTAATAATATAAACAAGTTTAAGAATCCAAAATCTCGAAATCAATACATATATAATAACATAAATCATTCTTAGAAATCAAGAAGTAATGATATCCAACAGTTAGTTTACATTCTGCAAAAGAGAAGTCAAAAAATAATTTGGCAGAGAAGTGATGAAAGCATTCTCCCTACAGACGGCCAGTTAATTAAATTGATCTAAATATCGACCACTATTCATCAAACACTCTGATTCATTACCTAACTACCTATTCTAAGAATAAAAGAAAGCAAACAAACAAAAGTTGCAAGAGAATGAGACAATAAGCGGCCAAAGTAAGGAGGAAAGAAAGATTGAAGATGGATGACGTCGAATAGATTAGGAAGCACAGCAACAGAAGCTTGCTTTTGAACGATTTTAAATTTCAAGAGAATGAGACAATAAGCGGCCAAAGTAATTAAGGAGGAAAGAAAGATTGAAGATGGATGACGTCGAATAGATAAGCACAGCACAGCAACATAAGTTTGCTTTTACTCACCAAACGAGTTTATGAGGACTCTAACTTGTTTTGCTTACCTAAAAACGTAAACTCTCTTTATTCAGTTTAGACGACACTTTGACTACATTGAATTGAGAAGAAATGAAATACATAATTAAATAATTAAAAGAGAAGAACTAACATTAATGTTTGCAATATTGAGGACAACCATTGTTCTTGACAATACAGCACATCTTTATATTTTTCTGCACATGTAAGGAATGAAAACTGAAAAATGAGAAAACTCATGAAAACATGCTAATATAAGAAAAAAATCAGAAAAAATCATATTTACCTCATACATAAACAATGCTTGAAGCACTCGTTTAAAATTATGTTGTCTTGCTCTCCTAAATATCCAAAAACAAAGAAACAAAATACTTTCTTAACAGGTTGCAAGCATGTAAAGCACTTAGAAACAAAAAGATACTCTTACTTACTTGAGATGCTGCATGTTCTGAATAATTACTACAGAACAAAAATAAAATGCCACTGGATTACTATTGGCTTTCAAATTCTTAAGTCTGAACTCCTCATCCGTGTCGCCTGTATGTTTATTATAACACAATACGGCCTTGAAAGCTCGACCAAGATTGAACACACCATTAAACCACGAATTTGCTTCAGGATCAGCGTTAAACGCTATGTGAAGAAAAAAAGTTTCCCCATCAAAAACCTTTCTTCCGGTCTCTCTTAAATAAGCGAACTTCTGCTGAGCTCCCAGAAACATGAGCGAATTTTGCAAATTCTTTTTATTCAACCTGAAAAATTTTCAATTCGAAATTGTTTTAAAAAGGTATAGCCACATGTGAAATTTAACTTATTACGTAATAATATAAACAAGCTTAAGAATTCAAAATCTCGAAATCAATACATATATAATAACATAAATCATTCTTAGAAATCAAGTAGTAGTGATATCCAACAGTTAGTTTACATTCTGCAAAAGAGAAGTCAAAAAAATAATTTGGCAGAGAAGTGATGAAAGCATTCTCCCTACCGACGGCCAGTTAATTAAATTGATCTAAATACTGACCACTATTCATCAAACACTCTGATTCATTACCTAACTACCTATTCTGAGAATAAAAGAAAGCAAGCAAACAAAAGTTTCAAGAGAATGAGACAATAAGCGGCCAAAGTAAGGAGGAAAGAAAGATTGAAGATGGATGACGTTGAATAGATTAGGAAGCACAACAACAGAAGCTTGCTTTTGAACGATTTTAAGTGTTGTTAATGCTTTTACTCACCAAACGAGTTTATGTGGATTCACTTGTTTTGCTTACCTAAAAACGTAAACTCCCTTTATTCAGTTTAGACGACACTTTGACTACATTGAATTGAGAAGAAGAAATGAAATACATATTTAAATAATTAAAAGTGAAGAACTACCCTTAATGTTTGCAATATTGAGGGCAACCATTGTTCTTGACAATGCAGCACATCTTTATATTTTTCAAAAACATCAGCTAAGCTCTCACACTCTTTGGATTTGTCTTGTGTAGTAAGTCTTAATCTCCAAAGCTCGACTTTGAAGGGCAGCTCCGTAACCACAATGTTATGCATCCATTTTTTTAGATGGCCGCCATGCGAATGCTTTTTGGAACAATGGTGACGTTCATCTAAAGCGGAGTCTCTTTGCGTTTGAGAATGTTTCTCTGCACATGTAAAGAATGAAAACTTATTTGGCAGTATACCAGAACTAGGACTTTACTCAAGATGGAGCTTCTTTTGGTTTAAGGCAGAAAAAACTCACTACAATTACACCACCTACACCATGTGTGGATGGGCTTTTAATTTACAAGGCAACATACGGAAGTAAAAACGTGAGTGTTCGATTTGTAAAAAATGAACACAAAATTGTAATGGCCAGAGAAAAACAAGGTTTTAGGAGAGCAAGGCAACATAACTTTAAACGAGTGCTTCAAGCATTGTTTATTTATGAAGTAAAGCAAGGTTATGTTTTTGTGTACTATCGGTACGATCATACTTTGCCTGACTATGTTGATAAAATTAAGAATACTGCTGAGAGCAACGCAAAGGGACTCTGCCTAATGAGATAAATATGATTTTTTCTGATTTTTTTCTTATATTAGCATGTTTTCATGAGTTTTCTCATTTTTTAGTTTTCATTCTTTACATGTGCTTTTTGGAAAATGTTTCTCTGCACATGTAAAGAATGAAAACTGAAAAATGAGAAAACTCATGAAAACATGCTAATATAATGAAAAAATCAGTAAAAATCATATTTACTTCATACATAAACAATGCTTGAAGCACTCGTTTAAAGTTATGTTGCCTTGCTATCCTAAGACCTTGTTTTTCTCTATCCATTACAATTTTGTGTTCCTTTTTTACAAATCGAACACTCACGTTTTTACTTCCGTATGTTGCCTTGTAAATTAAAAGGTCATCCACACATGGTGTAGGTGGTGTAATTGTAGTGAGTTTTTTCTGCCTTAAACCAAAAGAAGCTCCATCTTGAGTAAAGTCCTGGTTCTAGGATACTGCCAAATAAGATATTACTGCATTGGAAGCCAAAAACGAAATAGATATTAGACTAGAGTCCAATGATTAATACAGACATCCAGACAAAACTAATTGGGTTGATCATGCTTAAATCCCACCTCAATCCAGAACAAAGCACCCCTACTAACCCATACAAAGCAGTAGTAAGAAACAAAGTTACCAACCCATTCTCATCCTTCATTTGGATTGCAACCATCATTCGCTATCATTCATTCATTAATTAATTAGTTTATTCATTTGTTCTTAATAGGATGGATGTCATATTAAGTATCTAACCTAAACAAGATGGTGCAGACTACAGCTGCCTCAGAAGTTCTGATTGTGATGACACAAGCAATATTTCATGCAGAGGTTTCTAAGTCTGCTTTAGAGGCTTGGGTGTCTTTACTTGAGCCTTTGAAGAGGAAGAAAGAAGGGTCGGACGGAGAAGACGGCAAGTAGGATCCAACTTTGAGTTACCAACCCATTCTCATCCTTCAGTTGGATTGCAACCATCATTCGCTATCATTCATTCATTAATTAATTAGTTTATTCATTTGTTCTTAATAGGATGGATGTCATATTAAGTATCTAACCTAAACAAGATGGTGCAGACTACAGCTGCCTCAGAAGTTCTGATTGTGATGACACAAGCAATATTTCATGCAGAGGTTTCTAAGTCTGCTTTAGAGGCTTGGGTGTCTTTACTTGAGCCTTTGAAGAGGAAGAAAGAAGGGTCGGACGGAGAAGACGGCAAGTAGGATCCAACTTTGACTTCTTTATTAAAGGCGGGTTTGATGGTGGATAGGAAGGGAGCGGATGTGAGTATCTTAGTCGTTTTTCTTCTGGGTAGCTTTAGCAGTGTGAGATGTTGATTGGGGATTGAGGGTTTGGAGGATGGTGGGGGGAGGATTGGAGGGAGGGGTGGGTTTAAGGTGGAAGCCATTTTTTAGGGTTAGAGACGAAGGGAGGGAAAATAGGAAAAAGATGAACCCTAACCCAGAACCCTAATTTCGAACATTCAAATCAGTTCACCCCCAACCCAAAACATCAAGTATAGAACGAGAAAGGAGGAAGAGACAAGCACCTGGATTCTGATCCATGATAAGTTTCAGTCGTACTGCTATCCGGGCGAAGCGCTACTCCTACGCGAAGCACTGCCGCTGCTGACCTTGCTGTATACCGGAGCTGGTAAACTCCGCTGCAAAACTTGAGTTCATACCGGGGGAGAGAGAGAGGGGTAGAGATATAGATGAGAATGAGAGCTTGAATGGTCACAAATCTGTCTCACTTTGTATAAAATAGCCACAATTCTTTAATCTTGCACGTTCTAGTAAAACAAATTTGAGCGAATAACAAATTGGTCAATCCGTCAACTTCGTCCAAAACTTTGTTACATTTTGCCCAGTCAGCATGACAAATCATCAAAATATTAATAAAAAATCAGTTAATTGTCCCAATTAACCCTCACCGCCTCTTCTACCACCGTCGTCCAGATGCCAATAAGGATTCTCGACCCTCCTTTAGTTGCCAGACTGATGCAGCCGGCCAGCGATTAGCCAGAGCACACAACGATCCCCGCAGCTCCACCGATGGGATTGATGGAGAACTTCTCTCCGACCTACCTCTCCATCGGCAACCCCTACCTCGATTTCTTCTTTCTATGTCGTCCCCGAAGTTCTCGCCGGCAGTCTGGTCGATCGGCTCACCTTGGCCTGGGCTCATGATCCCCTGACCACGCTCAACCTAATCAGACATCTTTGTGGGAGTAGAGGAACGGGAAATTTGGCCAAGGAAGGAATCTGGCGACGGTCTGGCTCCACGACCACCACCCAAATACCTTAGCCTTTAACGCTAGGGCGTTCTCAGAATTAGCCTATTTCAAGGATAACATCGAGGTTCTGTACGGATCCTTGAAGGCCTCGACGCGAGACAAAAAGGCAAAGAAGGAATTGGAAGAACCGCGACATCCCAAGTGG